AGAAGGGCCCCCAGCCCTCCAGAGCCAGAGCTGGCGGGAGGCTTGCTCCTCCAGGACACGAAGCCAGCCGGGAGGAGCGAGCCGGAGCAGGCGGCTGGGTCTGACCGGCTCACCCCGAGGCCGTGCGCAGGCGCTGTCAGAGAACCAACATTCATTCACAAGCAGAGAATCATTACAGAGTTCTTACAGATTCCTATTCATTTATGTCCTGACATCAGTGGGGCAGCGAACAAATATTCTCTCAACGCAATACAAGCTTTACTCAACAGACTTCTAGTCTTTTTAAATTCATAGCACTAAGATCAACTGAAGCAAGTTGCCTCAGTTTTTAGTAATTGCTTTTCATGCACACATTTTCAAGACCTGAAAAATTCAAAAAAGTCAGATAAAAAAGGATGAGCAGAGTAAATCCCTGGTCTGTTTTGTCACTAAGTCCTGACAATCACTTTACAGTCATCAAGAGGAGAAAAAAGGAATACGGAGTCTTTCCTCCCCTTTCCGTGACACAGGTAAAGATCGGTGAAAATGGCACAACTGTGGGGAAAACCAGACACGAATTTTAATCCAAATCTTTCTCCACACAATGCAAGCACAAGACAGATCACCAAGATCTGCAGGTTTTTCTACACAAAATTTATGCGATGCTCTTTACATGGTACAAAAAGATACAACAACAAAGCAATTTATTTGCAAGACATACAAAACAATGACTCATTCTAGTAACAGTCAAACTTCTGATTTTCTGTTTCACTGTCTGAGTGGCCTTCTGCTTCACATGAGTGAAACATTTTTGCATTCAGAAAAAAGGGTTCTGCCAGAGGCAGTCCACACTTCTACTGCATTATTCATTGCAGAGTTGTGCAGACAGCAGACACAGATTAGATTTCTGATCACTTCGGACAATTATGCTAGGCAACATTTATCACTAAATGAATTTACCTGATCTAGTGGATGACAGTCTTTGTTCTATACTTAGAACTGCACTAAAACTTCTGCAATTAAACCAGATACCATGCCTAACAACGCAGATATCAGGCTACATTCAACTAATTTTGCAAACTCTTAAACTAGGTGAGAACTCAAAGTGGAAACCATGTTATATTCTGCTGTCTTGAACTCATAAAACTGATGAAACAGGGAAATTTCTGCTGCATTACCCTTAGAGTTTAGATGTTCTCAAAGCCAACCTCACTGGCCAAAAAACAGGAGTTTTTTAAAATCATATACAAACAGCTTGAGGACCACATACTTCTTATGGTAATACACCATCTGTACTTTAATAAATCCACAGTAGATTAAGACCATGTGCCATATTTATCAGCACATTCTTATTCTGTATCTTGCTCTCAGTAAGACAGCAGTTCCTTAAACTGTAAAATACTTTAAGACAAGGGTTTCACTCACCTTTAGAATAAGAAATAGAGAAACTATATGAAAGTCCACGGCACCTTTTGCTGCACCTGTAGCATTCACTCCTGAGACCATAGGGAGCCTTAGTGCAGGGAATTACCAGACAGACAGGTACCTCAGTTAACATGGAGTTCTGGGGGAGCAGTGGTATAGGGAGGGAAAGAAAAGGGAAGCCCTTTAAAAACAAAACCAATTTCCACCCCAAACAGTTATCAAAGTAGGAAAATAGATGGATGTAACAAGGATGAAAAAAGGATGGGGAGGGAGGCAGGTAAGCAGATGGAAAAAGGAAATACAGTGCTGTGAATTATACCGTAATTTAAAGGTATGCCCAGGGCTGAAAGGCCAGTCCTCCAGAACTCCCACAAAATCAGCTGGAAACAGCTGAAAGAATGTGGGGTGAGATTTTCAGAAGATCTCAGAACTGGACTGTCTGGCAGAACTGAAAGCAGTAAGAATGTCACCCCTAATTTCAGCAGGACTTAAGTCCACACCGAACGTAAGTAAAAATCCCACTCATTGGCTTTATTCACCCCATGCGCAGCAGAACTAGCTGTTGCACTTTTTCTATGGCTTCCTGCTCTTGTCCGCCTGAAGCAGCACAGGACCTCTGAACCCTGTTTCCGCTAAGCATCTCCACCTAAAAAGGGTTTTTTTTTTTGCTTCTGCATGCGAAACTGCACTTTTACATCCTTCCACCAAACTGACACTGAACAACACTACCCAGATTGTGAATACCTCCTGCCTTAATCTCTCCCTTGAAGAGATTAATTTATATTTGAATCTCATAGTCTATTAGTTGAATACTATTAAAAACCTGTAATCCATACTTCCCTAGGAAGGGTGCTCTTAAGGACTGTCTTTGACACTAATTCAAATTAATCAGATGCGAAGAATATAGTGACGTTTTTAAGGTTCACAACACCTTGATTAATAAGGCAATACACAATTTAAATGCTTGGTGAAATGGACTATAAAAATGGCTTTATCAAACCACAGGAGGAAGAATTTTTCTTGTAACATTAATCACCGTAACTGTGAAAGAGACTGATCCTACTATCCTTGTTCAAGTTCCCATGGAGGTTTTGCTTATCTAAGGAATGCTAAATCAGGTCTTTAAGACAAGTTGCTTTCTGAAATTATTTGGAAGACCTTCTGGTGCATTCACCAGAGTTATACTAATATCAGATACTTTTTACTTCTAAAATCCATAAACCGCATGAC